CATAGAACAAAATATGTAATAGATTTTGTTTTTATAGTTGGGGAAGAATCTGGTTTGATACACTTATTCGTAACAATATTCGTAACAATTTCCTCAACCCTATATAATCTCGCTTCTTTGCTCTTGACAAGTTTCACACCATATGCCTCATTTCATATAATCTCGGCAGCATAGTTTATCTATAGCATTTAATAAGTAGAAAATGGATTTTACCCAGGAAAGAATCTGCTCGGCTTCTAAAACAAGCTCGGATCAGATGAATTATCACAATAATGTGTACAACTTATTTTTAACAACCTCTTTTATCCCCCAATCCAATAAACTTAGATTTTATTTTTAAATATACTCCGTATGAAAGTCTACGGCTTTCTCAAAAATATATTATGGTAGAAAAGTTATAAAAAAGTACTAATTAAAAATTTCACACTATCTAACTTTAAAGCAAATTGACATACCCAAAAAACAAAAACATGTACAAAATAGAACCGTAAGTGCACTTTTAATACTTCGTACCTAATATGTGTGTGCATCTATGTGTATAGCAAAGAAATGTTTGGGGCACACACAGAGGGTCAAAACTGTCTAGATAAAATCCTCATGGATAAAAAAAGGTTAGAGAATCCCTTCTTTTTACCCCCATTGTGGAACACTGATGCCATTTCCGATCCCCATATCCACTGTTTCTCCATCCTTAGAATGAATTCCAATCCAACTGCTACTTACAAAAAATGCAAGCAGAACTAAAAATTAAATATTTAAGTTCATTGTAGTCGTCAATTAAGATAAAAGAAAAAAAGTTGTCAAAGAACAATCAACCTCAATTAGCCGGCCACTGTAGTCCTCAATTAAGTTCATTTACTCTGTACAATTCAACCCTTCCAGTATAATTTGTGTGGAAAATTAAACAAATTGAAAACTATTTTGCTGAATTTTTTTGATGCTTCGTTAATATACCTAGATGTGATGGAACATGGGTGACTCGCTATGGAAGATGGAGCAGCTGTGGGTGATGGAACTCTGACGGCTAAGGACGTCAGTGCGACTGGTGTGATGGAACACCATGGAAGAGCAGCGATAGTAAGGCGGCGATGTTGGAACAGCGGTGGCGGAGCGGGGATGTTGGAGCAGCGATGGCGGAGCGGCGATGTTGGAGCAACGATGTTGGAGCGCCGATGTTAGAGCAGAGATGTTGGAGCGCCGATGTTAGAGCAGAGATGTTGGAGTGCCGAGTTGGAGCGCCGAGTTGGAGCGGCGGCGGCCATTAGTGTCTTCGGCCGACTAGGGTTGATTTTTGGTATACAGCATCTGCTCTCAAGTGAAGTTCCAGACAAATTAATAAACTTCGGAATTACTAGGGCTTAAGATCTTTCTACAAGGGTTCAAAATGAACGGACATAGTAGAATATTTTAAACAATCACAAAAAAGACCCCGAATGTTACTTGACTTTTAGAAAATTGTAAACCTAACCCCGTTTTCATTTTCTATGTCGGTCTTTCTTAAGACCGTTATAGAATAATTTGTTAACTTTTAACTCTTACCCGCAAAAGTGACATGAACTTTTCGTTATTTATGAATCAGACCCCGTGCCTTTATACTATAACGGTTCCTATCTAACCCATATGAATTGTTAGTTATGGAAGGTGTATTTTGCACTAGTGTAAGAAGTAAGGAAGTAGAAGCCAAACCTATAAGGGTTACCACTGCAGGGGGAAACAAGATGTGCAGCAACACCCTGGTGGTTGATCTACAGTGGGAGATGCAGCAACACACTTTTGGTTATACTTTTAGGGTCCTTGATACCAATGAGTTTGACCTAATACTGGGAGGAGACTGGCTCAGGGATTTGACCCCAGTAAAATATGATTATCATAAGATGAGTGTTACGGTGACCTTAAGGAAGACACAGATTGAGCTACAATGTGAAGACAGATGTCCCCTAATCACCAGCCACATGTTGTATCAAACAATTTGTGAGGAGAAACCAAGTTCAGTAGAAGAGGTCTATTGGATCAAAATAAAAGAACCTGGCTTAGAACCCCAAGGAGAATTGCTGGAACTACTAAGAGAGTTTGAAGATGTGTTTGCAAAACCTACTCCCCTCCCACCCCAGAGAGGTGTTGAACACCAGATCATACTGAAACCTGGGAGTTTACCTAAACAGCAATATCCTTACAGGGTCTCCCACAGCCAGAAGGATGAAATAGAAAAGATAGTTGCAGATTTACTGGCAACTGAAGAAGTCCAACCTAGCAAGAGCCCATTTTCCTCTCCTGTGCTATTGGTAAAGAAGAAGGATGGTAGTTGGAGGATGTGTGTAGACTATAGGTACCTCAACAACCTAACTGTCAAACACGATTATCCAATTCCAGTCATTGATGAGCTGCTGGATGAACTCAAGGGGGCCAGATTCTTCTCTAAAATTGACCTAAGGTCAGGGTATTTTCAAATACTCATGGCACCTGAACATAGGTACCTGACTGCTTTTAGGACACACCATGGACATTACGAGTTCTTAGTTATGCCTTTTGGGCTATGTAATGCCCCCGCTACATTCCAATCACTCATGAACCAGGTTTTCAAGGATCAGTTGAGGAAAACAGTCCTTGTGTTTTTTGATGACATCCTAATATATAGTCCTACATTCCAGCAACATGTACAGGACCTAAGGATGACTCTAGAGACCTTGAGGAAGCACCAGCTATATGCTAAGAAGAGCAAATGTACCTTTGGGCAAGAAACAGTTTCATATTTGGGGCATATCATCTCCTATGATGGGGTGGCAACTGACCCCAGACAAGATCGAGAGTATGCTCAACTGGCCCACCCCTAACAGTCTAAAAGGACTAAGGGGGTTTCTGGGACTGACAGGTTACTACCGGAAGTTTGTTAAGGGGTATGGAATGATCAGCAGACCACTAACAGCTTTATTAAAGAAAGGTGCATTCATTTGGAACTTTGAGGCAGAGCAAGCTTTTAAGGAGCTTAAGACTGCAATGACCACCACACCAGTATTAGCACTACCTGACTTCTCCAAACCCTTTGTTTTGGAGACAGATGCTAGTAATGGTGGCATAGGGGCAATCCTGATGCAGAAGGGAAGGCCAATAGCATTCCTGAGTAAAAAACTGGGAGTTAGACACTTGGGGCTCTCAGTGTATGAAAAGGAATTCATGGCAGTACTGATGGCCATCCAGAAGTGGAGGCACTACTTACAAGGTAATAAATTCATCATTAAGACAGACCAACAGTCCCTAAAGCATTTGCTAGATCAGAAAATTACCACACCACTACAACAGAAGTGGATCACCAAGCTTCTGGGTATGGACTACGAGATAACCTATAAAAAGGGTGTGGAGAACAAAGTGGCTGATGCCCTATCAAGGAGAGAAACAGAAGAAGCTGATTTATGGTCACTAACTACAGTCAGACCAATATGGATGCAACAAGTGTTAACCAGCTATGAGGGTGACCAAGATGTCTCTCAGATCCTAAGTGACAAGACCAATGATTCAGTAACTCACCCAGACTTTGAAGTTATTGGAGGAATCCTTAGGCACAAGGGCAGAGTGGTTATTGGCAGGTCTACTGATCTCAGGTTTATTATTTTTAAAGAATTACATGCAACAGCAGTGGGTGGGCATTCAGGGATACAGGGGACCTACATGAGGCTGAAAAGAGTGTTTTACTGGCCAAACATGAAGAAAGACATCACCCTCTGGGTAAAAGAATGTGAAGTTTGTGCTAGAACTAAACCAGAAGGGGGAAGTTATCCAGGCCTATTGCAACCTCTACCAATCCCTGACCAGGCTTGGAGTCATATAAGCATGGACTTCATTGAAGGACTTCCAAAATCTCAGGGTAAAGATGTCATATTGGTAATTATTGATAGACTTACCAAGTATGGGCATTTCCTACCCCTATCCCACCCTTATACAGCACACACTGTGGCAAAATTATTCCTAGACAACATATTCAGATTACATGGACAGCCTCTGGACATTCTTACTGACAGGGACCCTGTGTTTCTGAGCACATTTTGGAAGGAATTGTTCAAACTTATGGGCACCCACTTGAGTTACACATCAGCTTACCATCCCCAAACAGATGGTCAAACCGAGCGACTAAATCAGTGTCTAGAGGCCTATCTCAGAGCCATGACTCATCAAAACCCTAAACAATGGGCTAGATGGCTACCCATGGCAGAATATTGGTACAAGACTAACTATCATTCAAGTGCAAGAATCACTCCTTTTGAGGCACTGTATGGACATACGCCCCTAACCCTCTCCCTGCCTACACCTTCTGCAACAACTCACCTTGAAGTAAAAGAACTCATAAACCACAGACAGAAATTGAGGCATGACCTAAAGGAAAACCTTAAGCTCGCTCAAGAACGAATGAAGTACTACGCAGACAACAAAAGGAAAGATAGGGACTTCAATGTGGGAGATAAGGTGTTCCTAAAGTTATAACCTTACCGACAGCAGACAGTGGCAATGAGAAAGAATAAAAAATTGGCAGCACGTTACTATGGGCCATACACCATACTTGAAAAAATTGGGAAGGTTGCTTACAGGCTAGATTTACCTGAGGATGCCAGGGTACACCCAGTATTCCATGTCTCTCTTTTGAAGCGTTGTATAAGGCCTCAAGTGGAAGTAACGACTACTCTTCCTCCAGTTGACGAAGACAGATGCTTCTTCATATCGCCAGCATCTGTACAAGCCATACACTTAACAGAGGGAGAATCTGCGTTGTTGACCCTGATTTTACCCTGTGGAAAAAACGGAGAAACTGCCGAGGGGTGGATATCAAAAAAAGGGCTCAGTCGGTTCTTCCAGAAGGTAGATCCTTGGGGACAAGGATCTCAAAAACACAGGGGTATTGTTATGACCCTATCAGCATGATAGCGGATACAGGAGCGGGAAGTAAAGTTCAAACGGAAGAAGGCTTCTTTACTCACTTATGGGCCGGTTAATTTAAACTACAATTGGGCCGTGTTATCCATTATTATTATTATTATTTAAATTTTGTTAAGCCCATATGTACAATTGGGTTCTGGCTAAGCTTACACTGGTGTAGTAAATATATATATATATGGAAGGAATGGAAATGAGAGGTAACAAGTAATACCCCTTTTATCATTTACTACCTTTCTCTCTCACACACCTTTCTTTTTCTGCTCTCCCTAACTAACTGTACGGAACTTTTCTTCATTCTTCTTCCCAAAACCATCAAAAACTCTCGGTCCATAACACCACCCTTCTCTTCTCTGCACCCAACCGCCAACCACCAGACCTGGCGGCGTCCAGAGTTAAGGCCCACATGCTTTGCCACAAGGGAGGACTGACCCCAGTAAACTATTGCGCCGCCAACTTCAAAACTCATCCTTGAGATCTCAGTGAGCTGCCATATCTCCCAAAGGCGTGCAAATTCTAAGGGGATGATTACCACAGTGGCATCAGAAACCCAACCTTCGCTGACACATGATTTCATCAACTTTTAATTGTGTTAATTGAATCACAAATTGATAAAATGAGAAAATTAAGAATAAAGCTGTTAAATTTTCTCGCCAGATCTATAGGTGAAAAATCCTAGGGTAGACAACACAAATAGACTACCTACAGGTGAGAACTTTTATGTTTAAGCCAATCCTTCTTACCTCTAATTGATTGGAAATGCAAAATTAATAAGTTGGAGATAGTTTGGTGAAAGTAACACAAAGCAGAGTATGTTTTAACTTTGATGGAGAAAAAGAACATGGCTGAAACATCGAAGTGTAGACACCAGAAATTTGCCACTCCCAAAGGCGCTTTCGGGATTGAGTACAGAGGGGGAAATTAAAGCTTCAACATCGAATTAGGAGAGGCCATTGATTCCGGCGGTGAGGAGAGGAGAAGAGAATTGGGAAAGGAGGAAAGGGAGTTGACGGTTGACCGAGAGAAAAAGAAAAAGATAAAAGAAAGAAAAAATGAAAAAGAAAATAAAAAGGAAAATATTTGCCACATGGGCTGGACCACACATACAAGTAACCGGAGAACCGGATGGTTATACCTACTATAAAGCTCATTGAGTGATTTTACAAATTTTGAGGGTTCAATTGAGTGTTTTCAAACTACGGGGTCTAATTGACTATTGTGATATACTACAGGGACTTATTTGACAATTTTCTCTTTTCTAATAATATATAAAGTCAAACTTTTATGTATAAAATGTTATTAAATTTCTACTAATGTAAAGTTTTTAAAAATTAACTTTTTATAATGTTTACTAATATGTAATTAAATATTATTACAATCAAAGGTCTGCGTTGGCAAACGTGACAGTCAAACATTTGAAACTTTTAAAAAACCAAGTATAGTATACTGTAAAAGCGAACCAGCCAACATGAAAGTTGAAACGCTGCAATCAGTGGCATTTCCAAAAGATATTTTTTGACTGTTTGGGATGATGTTGATTCAAAATGCCGTTTATCGAACATATTATGTAGCTGGTTAATCTATCAGTCAAATAATCTAAATTTAGTCAAATCAGGCAGCCATTTACGGATTTACCAAACATGATTATTATCATATGGTGGTGCATTTTGAAATTAAAATTTTAGAATTCACTTATTAGTGTTTAAATCTCATTCTCATTTTGCATAAAAAGGAATATTCATAGACATCTATATATATATTAAAATGGAAAAGTGTGGGGGAGAGTTTGGGAGGGAATTTGGGCAGGATTGTGAATTCAAAATTCAAAAAAATATGCTGCCAACGATAGCATTAAATGGAGAGAAAGCTGTTATAGTTTGTAATGAGAAAAATGGGCTAGAATGTTAGAGTTTTTAGGGAGAACGTGCAACTTTAAATGAGGTGTATTTGGGATTTTTGAGGTGCCTTTTGGCAGAATAATCATTACAACCCACAATAATTAATCCAACCATTAAACTTGTCAAAAAACATACGTACAATGTACAAATGAGTATCATGTTGTTCAGCCAAAAATGGTGTTTCATATTCTGCCATAAAATTTCTCCTATAAATACTACTGCAACAGGCTAACATTTCCACCACAGCAATGCTTGAGATCAACGGTTTCTCAAGAAGATTACCAGATTGTATGATTCTTTATATATGTTTTTTGAGCTTTTTGCTATGAAGAGGCCTGCAACTTTTGGTTTGGTGAAGGTTCTCATGGAGATGCACATTGGACGCTGGGACTCTCTGCTTGCTGTGTGTACTGCCCAGAAGTGACGAAGGTGAAATCAAACGCTTGTGCTAAAGAGGTACTAATATATCATACAATTCAAAACTTAAAAGAGTACTCATATATACCCAACATTATATGTTTCTATATTTCAAGAAAACATTTTAATTACTTTTTTCTGTTATTTGTGTTAGCATTCAACAAAAAATTTGGTTAATGTTTTTAATATTGAAGAAACCATTTGGTTATTTTTTTAATGTCTTAATTTGAATAGTGTGTATGGCATGGTTTTAAAGTTGGTTTGAGCTATTCTATATTATAAATCATAGTCTCTATTCTGTTTCTGTCTTTCAAAAAGTTCTTATAACTTTGCTATTTAATATGTCCAGAATTGAAAAAGAAGGTGAATTAGTGCTGTAAATGTGTGGACGAGACAACACTACAAGGAGCAATACTATAAAAGACGTGGTTCAATATTAACATTTTGGTTATTTTTGTGTGTGTATAACTTCTCATTAGCCCATGTAGTTGCTTTGGAGACCTGTTAACACAGTTGCGATAAGATGGTAAAACTTACAAAGAGCACAGCGATTTTGAGAGAAAGAGATGGATAATTTTGGGCAAAAGAGTGGCTATTTTTGTGCTTGATCTATTCAGTATTATAAATTGCTGATATGAACAAAGTGGTATACTAGAGAACACTAATATGAATCATCTCTTATTGGACTTGAATGGTCAAACGTAAGATGATGTTATAACTACTCTTTTTTAAACATGTGTCATAGATGTATAAGCAAGTGCTCGAAAGAGCACTCAATTAAATATCACCATTTATTACCTTTTTTTGTATTATGTGTTATTATATTAGCTGCTACTATTCAATAGTAATCACGATAAAGAGAGATCAATGATCATACCTTTGTCTCATTAAACAATTATAGTGTGATCTAAAATAGTTACACTGCGGACCTGTTAAGATAGTAGTGATAAGATGGTGAAAACTAAAAAGAGTACTAAAATGTCAGGCAAAAGAGCAATACATACACTCACAGATAAGATAAAATAAAGTTACATTCGCAATTATAGAACCATTTTTATAATTTCAAATGTTTTGTTTCACATTACATTCTCATGAAATGACAGTAAAACTTTTTTATATACATAAAGCAAAAAGTTTGATTGTATCATCACTAAGTCGAATCACCTATATGTACCACTCTAAATCCTATTACATTTTAAGTTTCACATATGACATATGTATATATCGCTTTACACGTTAACCACATTTACCTGCACATTCAATATTTCTTTAGCAATAAATCATTCTAAATTTTGGTGCATTTTTTTCTTTAACATAGGAAAGTATTAAAAAAAAGCACTAACATTAATGGACTGATTAGCAAACTCACTGACTGGATCTGTTTTCATCCCTAAAAGATTGAACCTGTAAAGATTAAATTTTTTTGGTAAACATGAATAATACCATTCACCACAAAGGACTTTGGGAACATAGTAGAAAAACCTAATCAAATAAAGAGCCCGTTTGGAGAACTCTGTTTTCGGCTTATCAGGCTTATCAGCCAGCTTTTTCACCAAACACGTAACTTTTACTTTCGCGCGCTGAATTGTGTAATAAGCCAAAAAAGTAAGGTTGGAGTTACTTTTCTGGCTGTATTGGCTGAAGTTACTGTAGAGGACCATTTTAGCTATTTTTACATATAATTTTTTCTTTAATTTATTAATAAAATATATTTTTAAAATTTTTTTTTCTTAAATCAGCAGAATCAGCCAAAACAGCCACTCCAGCCAGAATATCATAAATTTCAGCAGAATCAGCCAAAACAGCTGATTTTGGTGCTACCAAACGGGCTCAAAAGAATACAAAAACAACTCTGCGAGCATTCTGAACAATATAAGTCCAGACTCATACTTGCCCAAGCTATAGCTAAGTGTGAACAAAGTACCTATACATGACCTGTCCCGGTCCCGGTTTGGTGCTGGGGGTGGGGGGTGGGGGTGGGGGTGGGGGGTTTGAATTAATTCGAAAAGACAGAAGAAATTAATTTATACATGACCTGTCCCGGTCCCGGTTCTAACCCGGGCCTGTACCGAGCTTGAATAATATTGACCCGGAGCCCGCCCCAACATGACCCGGAGTCCGGCCCGACCCGGGCCCAGTCCACCCCTTTGTATGTATGAGAATAAGTGAATTTGATTTTTTTGTTAAGTGTATTTGTTTAGTTGGAATAATATTTTTTTTATCACGGTTTTATATTATGTAGTAGTTAAATAAAACTACTACATGTATTCGTTTAGTATTTGTTTATCACGGTTTTAAAACTACTAATGATTTATCACGGCATAGTATTTGTTTAGTTGGCATAACTCTTGAATCATTCTTTTTCCCTTTCAACCACAAAAAATATAAATATATGAATGATGTCAATATGGAACATATATATTTTCATGAAAATGATACTTAAAATGAATCGATAATAAAATATTTTTAAGACTGTTCTAATTAATATATGGAGTATGTACTTATCTGGTCTTATATTAAGTTCTCACTTTTTTTGGTAGGTCTAAAATAAATTCTCTTCTATTTCTGGAAAGTTTTTAATATAAATATATTCTCATATTCTTACTTCCTTTACCTACTTTTCATTCACTGTATATTTTTCATTACATCTAATCTACTTTTTGTATGCATATAATGGTAAAGTCACAAGTAAAGAATTCACTTTCTTAAAGGATTGGACACCCATAAAAGTACTGATCATTCACAAGATTTGTGCAAGGATATATTATGATCACTACATTAGGTAATCATCGTATGCCGGAAGGAAAAATTCTGACAGGAGAAAAGAAGCAAAAATTATTACAGGAATAAGCACTTATGAAAATGTATTGATAGTAAAAAGGGTCTTTGACTCTATGATATGTTAGATTGTCTTTCAAATTTCAAAGATGACAATTTCACTAATGATTTTGTACGCAATAGTGATAAACAAAAATAAAGGGCAATCTTTTTCTATTGTTGATTTGTTCGTGCGGAAACCTTCTTTAACCTCATACTATCTATGTGATAAAAATGATAGAAACACTAATGTAACAACAAATATGAATATCAAGGTGTTTTTTAAAAATTTGTAAACATTTGTTTCTTATGCTTTAATTGTGCACCTTCCCGCTAAATATTTATTTTTTCCTTAAATTAAATTTCCTAAAAATTAATATTCATATTCCCTAAAATAGTAACATGTTTCCCGTGCATCGCACGGGTACAATACTAGTTAGAGTTAAATTAAAAGTTTAGAATCTTCAAAGCGTCCACTAGTAGAGGCGGTTGAGAGTTTGAATAGGGCTGGGATATCCAAGGTGGGGGCAAGGAGGCACTTGCCCTTTTCAACCTCTCTCAACCCCCATCCAATCCCTATATTTATTCAATTCAATATAAAATTTTATGTATACTAGTTTTCAAGCCCGTGCGATGCACGGCTGTACGTAATTTAGCTAATTTCAAATTTGTTTTTTTCTGGAATCATATATAATGTGATACACAAGCAGTATAAACTCAGTCTAATATAGAGTCTGTTTAAGAATAATAAAATTGGTTGAATTGACTTATTTTGCTGAAATTGATTAAATTTTAACTGAATGGGCTTATGTAAAGTATATTCCATTTGCAAAATAAAGAAAAAAATATATGAAAAATAGTTAAAATGATCTACTATATAAACAATCTCAAGTAACCAAATAATTGTTATGAACCCGATTTTAAAGATTTCATAATCTCACATCTTCTAAATTATTTTATTATGCACATCAAATTTTTTCCCTAATATTCCTCATTCAACTTGGTATGAAATACTGAGTACATGTTTTTAACTTTTAATAATCAGATGTTACTCACATTTTACTCATTATTTTATCACATTGTAAATATAAAAAATGGAGTTTTTTATACAATTTACTCACTATTTCGTTACATTGAAAACGGTTTTTAATTGTTATGAACATCTAAATTATTTCATTGAGAATTTCAAAATAATATGTTTATAATATTTTTCATTCAACTTGGTGCGAAACACGT